GGGGGGGGGTCTTTCTTTTCCCCACTGTCCCCAGCACTGCAGAGATGCTGGGTAGCAAAGCCAGGGAGGTTCATGATCAAACCAGGCTGGATTTTTTTTTCTAACCTCCCTGCCCATGGGTTAAAAATAGCCAACAACTTTGCATCTGTGACTTCCCTCCCCTGTGAAGTGCCAGGACTGGACCATGCCGGGGATGAAACCTCTCCCAGCTCTGATGCACTGTATTTTTAAAGATTCTTTAATCAGAAATTTATTAACTGGCTTTCAAATGCTGCTTTAGACACACCGGTTTACAACACCAAACACATGAGGTTTGAGCTACTCTGATGGGAAACGTATTAGCGCTCGTAAACGCCTTCTTAAACAGGCTTGTTTACAGCAGTGAAAGTGTGAGTCACATCTTGTTGGTAATTGAGGATGTGATTGACACAAATTACATCAAAGACTATTTGCAATGGCTCACGGGGGCAGATTCTGTAAAAGAAATTGGAATACAGTGATCGCTTCTCCAAGCAGAGCCCTGGGTAACCTGCACAGTGGCCAATCTCCAACTTCACGTGGAGGGGCTTGGAAAATATTTGGAAGAACGACACCTCATGATCACTGTGGAGCACCCTGGAGTCCGCTCTATGGCCCTGCTCATCAGTATTAAAATCTGTCTGCATTTCTACGTTACCAGGGAGTGACCGGAGATAAGGGTTATCTTGCACTTTGCTGGGTGGATGAGGGAACCAGCGAGGCATTACAAGTTTGCTCCTGCTAACTTTCAAAGTAGATCGTTCAACATAAGAACAGACTAAATTCTACAGGTCACAAAACAAAATTAGGTTTCTCTTGGCAGACAAGATGCTTTGGAGCCATGGTGGCGGGGTAGCAAAGCCTCATGTATTTAATAAGGAAATAGAGTCTCTCGTTTCAAAGTGCTTCTGCTAAGTACTAAGCCCAAGAATGAGTGTTGTGAAAAGCTTGCTCCCTCGCCGTCTGCATTTGGAAGACAGACATCGCGGTTCCAGCTCTGTTTCTACCTTCCCACTGCAAGTCCAGTATAACCCTGCACAGCCAACGGCTGGCAAAGCATCAGTACCATAACGTCTTCAGTTTTCACTGATAGTATTTGAGTTATTTGCTTTCTCAGAATACAAAACCCTCAGTTGTTTGCTATAATTACGCCAGGTGCATCTTAAGACACACTCAGTCTTGCAGAGAGGACAGCAGGCGCCCTGGGCTGCCCGGTTTTCCTCCTGAAGAACAGAGGATCTGAGAGGATCGTCAGTGTGATAGTGGGGTTCTTGGGTAGGCTCACGATCAGCCCCCCCCCAACTCTGGGTTAATTTGCCAGCACATTTTCTGTGGCAGGCTTGTGATGCCCCTCGGCTCAGACTAAAGGACAGGATTGGCTTGGGATTGTTAAAATGGATTCAGAGGTCCTACTGATCCAGAAATTCCAACTGTGGAATTTAAAATGCGTTTCTATCTGACAGGAAGTGTCTATGTGAGCAGCGTCCTTGTGTGCCGGAGGGCAGCTGGCACTGGGGACGCCAGAGCCGGACCTGGCTGTGCCCTGGCCTCACCCTCAGTCTCCCTGAAGCCCCAGCGCTGGCCCCCTTTCAGGAGGGCTCCCAGCTTGGCTACTGCACGGCTGTTGCCATCTTGAGATGCTGACTCATGCCTGAGCAAAGTGCCTGCCGCCCCTTCCCTCAGTCAGAAGTCTGGGTCCATGGGGCGGCCACTCTGCTTCAGGCTGCGTGGGCTGTTGGGTTCCCAGAGCTTGGAAACTTCCAGTGGCTTCCAAGTGGTCCAGCAACAACCCCCCAACTCTACTCTCAACCTAGAGCTCAGGGCTCTTAAAGCCTGACCTTCCTGGCCCCCCATGCCCGCCTGCCCTCCTTCCCACATTATCTTCTCCTGCTCTGGTCCCTGAGCTGTTCCCTGCTAGGTCTGGAAACAGGTAGGACTCGACGCCCCACCCCCCACCCCCGTGCCAGTTTGGACATTTCCGCCCTGTGTCTGTGGCAGCCCGCCACCTCCGCCCGCCACCTCCGCCCGCCACCTCTGCCCGCCATCTCTGCAGCTGGCACCTTCCCGCCTCTGCCTGTGCTTTCAACCCCAAGGACCAGGCAGCGTTGATACTTGCTAGCAGACAGCAGCAACGGAGACTCAAACCGTTACTCAAAATAATGTGGGTCCAAAAACAAAACCATCCAGCACTTCTAGATTACAGAAGTCAAGTCTGGGCAACTGGATTATCCAGAGAGCAGCCTCATTTCTCTTCCCTGTGGCACCAGGACACAGCTCAGTACCTGGCCGCGAGACCTGCCACACGGCCCATGGCATCAGCGTCACTGGCGTCAGCAAGGCGTTGTCTGCACGGGAGGATGACCCATCTTTTCCAGGGTCCCCACTCACACAGCTACTCCAACCGCCCCTCCCCACCCCACCCCCATCCTCCCTAAAGAAAACCGCCATAGTATTCTCCAAGGAAGCGCAAGACCAGAGGTGGAAAGGAGCTCACGGCAGATCCAATCCCACAGTGAAAAAAATGGACCAAGAAACGGTGATTAACTAGGGCCTCAGACACAGGGCAAGGAGACCGGCTTTCCCCCAGCACCCCCCACCACCACTGGTGCCCCAGATTCTGGCACAGCATGGGGGAGAGAGAATCAGCTGGCAGCAGGTGTATACAAGACCCTGGGACCAAAATAGCAGCGCATACCTGTTGGTCAGCAGCCCTATGAACGGGTTGGTGAGGAGCTGGACGGTGGCTTTCGAGGCAAACAGCAGGCCCACTTGCACGTTTTCATTCAGGAGCTCCTTGTCTTCGCTGGGGCAGTCGGAGGGGGCAGCGGACGCATTTGCCACCGGGTGCTGCGTCGGGGCCTTCGGCTGCAGCCGCCGCCCCTGCCGCTCCCCGGTGTGGTTCCCGGTGAACATGGTGGAGTTATCATAATAGGAGAAGATGTTCTGGAAGCTGCCTGAGGTGGAGGCTGTGAGCACGGGCTTGGCCGTCTGGATGTCCGTAGCGTTTTTCCCGTGTTTCATGCTATACAAGTAACTTGGGATGATGGGGACTGGGGGCAGGAGCAGAACAGGAAGGAGGCAGTGACTGCTCTGAAACCCTCCCCAGGGGCAGGCGGCTCCATGGTGGTCTGGCCGTGCCCAGTGCCAGGTGGGGCCCCAGGCCGGGACGCCCGCGCCAGGCAGCTGCAAGCTCACTGGAGGGAACAAAGGGAGCCTGCAGCTGGGAGCCCCGGCCTCGGCTACTCAGGCAGGCCTGCCCTGCTGGCCACCCCACCCGGCCTCGCAGGGCGGGGGCCTTCCCAGGTATTTCAGGAAAGCAGAGTGTGGGCTGACAGCTGGTCAAGGCTCACCTGGGGCCAAGCAGAGCATCTCAGAAAGAGGTTCAAAGACCATCAAGTGAAGGAATCAAGCAAAGGGAAACCTTAATCCCCCCCCAAAAAAAATAAAACTGCAAGCAGCAGTCATTTGGCGATTCTGCAACAACCCTGCTTCGTTTTTTTATGATTTGAATTGGAATCTGCAATGTGTCACACCACCTGCAGGATCTAAGGATTCTGGAGGTTCCCATAAAGAAAAAGAAAAATGGCCCTAGTAGAAAGTTGAGGGAGGGGGGGGTGTTGCAGAGCACATTCCCCACACAGGAGAAAGGGTCCTCTTACCAAACTCCACCAGCCCCACAGCGCTGACAGTTCTCAGGGAGAAAACCTGACTACAGAGGCTTGGGAGACCCACAGATAGAACCCGCAAAGGAAAGACTGAGAACAGCCCCCGCCCAAGTCCAGATTAAAACATCCTTTCATTGCAACTGGGGTTCTTTAAGGAAAAGCCCACCCGACACTTGGCTGCTGATGGAGCTCATTTAAAGATGTGGATTTCAATTCTTAAATCAAAATGAAAAATCCACCCTAGGAAAAAGGCAAAGCCCCCACTGTTGAAACCACCTTTGAAGTGGGCTCCCAGCTCAAAGCAGGGCTGTGCTCTAAGCATCACCGCCTCTGGGGTCACACCCACTGATGACCACACCTGTGCAGGTGGCGCAGTATTTACTATTGCATTGTTGCTGACACCTCACCAGAGCATCTCCGCTATAACAATCTTTCATCGCGATGAAAGAAGGCTCGGGGAGGCAGGAAACTATCAGAAGGAAACAGAAGTACTGGGTCTTATCGGATGTCGCATGCTTTGACCTGACCACCAGGAAAACCAAGCCACGGAAAGGGCCCCGCGCCGCCGCCTTGGGGTGTGTATTTTTGCAAAGTCTCTTCTTTAAACTTTCCCAGGCCGGAGTGCGGCTCCCAGACCGTGGGGCGCCCGGGAAGCGGCCCCTGCGCTGGGGGCGTCCATGCTGTACATACCCACGACGGTGAGCAGCATGTTGTCCAGCAGCAGCGCCAGGAATACGATGAAGAGGATGAGCTTCCGCGAGTGCCGACTCTCACGCAGCCAGCGGAGCGGCGCCAACTCGCTCAGGGCCATAGCTCTGGGCTGGGGGTGCAGGGGCAGCGCGCGGTGAGGGCCGGGGCTCGCGGGGCCGGGCGTCCCCAGCCCACCCCCCGTCCCAGACTCCGCGAGGCGCAGAAGGCGCCGTCCGGGGTGGGAGGGCGCGCGCGGGCGAGGCAGGCGATCAGGGCGCCCCATCCTTCGCTCACCTGCCCCACAGCGCCCCGCTAGCACCTGCGCTCCCAGCAAAAAGAGCCCGCGAGCGCCGTCGGGGCAGGCTCCGGGGGGCTGCGGGGCTCCGCCCGGCTCTCGGTCACCCCCGCACCCCCACCCCGAGGCCCCACTCTGGCGCGCCGGTCGGGAGATACGGGACCCGCACACCACGGTCTGGGCCGGGCTCTTGCGGGGCCGCCCGCAGCCTTGCGCGCGCGTTGCGGGCTCCCCGAGC